TGAAACCCTGAAAACTGGATCCTGAATAACTGGACCCTGAAACCCTGAAAACTGGATCCTGAATAACTGGACCCTGAAACCCTGAAAACTGGATCCTGAAAACTGGACCCTGAAACCCTGAAAACTGGATCCTGAATAACTGGACCCTGAAACCCTGAAAACTGGATCCTGAATAACTGGACCCAAAAACCCTGAAAACTGCACTGGAACCTGTAATATCAGTTTGATGAGGTTCTTCTGATGAGTGCGGACTCATCTGTTTTAGTCCTGAGCCCTGAACTCTGGAGCTCAAAGACCATCAGATTAAAAGGATCTGGATCAGGAGGTTTTCGTACCTGGCAGTCTCAGGTTGACGACCCGATCGAAGAGGTTCTTCTCAGCAGTGACTCTGTTTAACACCTGGTTCAGAAGCTGCAGACAGAAGCACAGTCTCATTAGAACTCATTCTCTGTCTCAAAGGTTCAGAGTTCAACAAGTTCTAAGTAACAAAGCAGATCATGAAGCAGGACTGAGGAGAGAGAAAGACTGAAGAACCACAGCTTTGTCTCAAATGAAGAATTAATAATTAATCCAGTACCAGTGCAGTAAGATAACTCTGTACTTGGAAATAAAGAAAACTTTTCAGGCTAGATTAATAATCCAACATATTCTACTGCACAGAAGCATTAACAGGTTCAATAAGATCCACTTTAAACCTGGTCTGGACCAGCTTAATCCATTATCCTAGTTTTGTGCAACAGGTCCCAGGTGTTCTCTCTGTCCCAGCAGCAGCAGCAGAGTCTGCCCTACAGGGGTTCTGTGAGTCCAGTAACGGGCCCAGCTGAGTCTGACCTGAGCGAGGCGCCTCAGCAGCAGCTCCGCCGATGGACGGGACCAGTCCAGGAAGATCTCTGGGACCAGAGTGACAGTCATCTCCAGAACCCGTAGCAGGCTGACGGACAGGTCGAAGCACGTCGCACACACCTGGGTACAGGTTCCACCAAAAGCCAGAGGGTTCACCACAGAGCCAACACTTCAGAACCAGAACCACGTTGGACCTGATGGAATGTGGTTACCTTCAGCTGACGCGTGTCCACAAAGTTCCTCTCAGGACGTTCTGCAGCCTGTTGGATCTGGATGGACCACAGAAGTTCATTAGTGTCAGAACCAGAACCCTTCATGGTCCAGTTTCACGCATTAACCCACAGAACCATTATTAAAGAGGACAAGACCACTGACCAGGAACATAAAACCAGAGACCACCAGGTACTGGATCCAAAAGGTTCTACAACGGATCCAAAACACCAGGTCTGGTCTAGCCTGGTCATTCCCTTCTCTGAAGGTCTAAACCATCAGCATTGAACCAGCAACCTACCAGTACAGGACGATTCCCTTGACCTCTGGGCCACAGCCGCCCCCCATACGATGAACAACGGTCCTTTGCAGAGTGCCTCATACATTATCTGATCCAGATCTTGGTATTGATTTGTTAGATCCAGGTGATCCAAAGCCGACTCACCTCCTGGATCATCCCGATGAACTCGGAGAAGGCCCAGTTCAGCTGGTTCAGGACGCTGTTCAGGAACGAGGCCGCCATGTCTTTGTCCAAACTCAGAAGCTCTGCCATGTGTCTCTGCAGCAGCAATGATGGGCACGGCTCTGGACCAATCAGAGGACAGGAAGTCAGGTCAGGGAGGGGCAAAACCAGAAGGACTACAGAGACCAGACTAAGGAGGTCTAACTGACAGGGACCAGTACAGAGACCAGACTAAGGAGGTCTAACTGACAGGGACCAGTACAGAGACCAGACTCAGGAGGTCTGACTGACAGGGACCAGTACAGAGACCAGACTCAGGAGGTCTAACTGACAGGGACCAGTACAGAGACCAGACTCAGGAGGTCTAACTGGCAGGGACCAGTACAGACACCAGACTAAGGAGGTCTGACTGACAGGGACCAGTACAGAGACCATACTAAGGAGGTCTGACTGACAGGGACCAGTACAGAGACCAGACTCAGGAGGTCTAACTGACAGGGACCAGTACAGACACCAGACTCAGGTTTGGACACAGTTAACCATGACATTTTAAAAGTTATTCTGCTTCAGTCAGGACTCAGAAAGCAGTGGCTTGGTTCTCAAACTACATCATTAAAAGATCTCAATGTGTAAAATATGATGGTCTTTGTTCAGAACAGGCCACTGTAAATAAAGGGGCACCACAGGGTTCTGTATTAGCTGCTCTTTTATTTATATTAATCATGTACATAAAGGGGTACCACAGGGTTCTGTATTAGCTGCTCTTTTATTTATATTAATCATGTACATAAAGGGGTACCACAGGGTTCTGTATTAGCTGCTCTTTTATTCATTATTTATACCAATGATCTGGGTCTAAATGTGTCAGATGCTGGTTTACACTTTATGCTGATGATACAGTTATTTACTGCTGTGGATCAACGCTTCCTCAGGCTGTTGAATCACATGAAACTTGTTCTTAATGCTAACAAGACAAAGCTTATGTTGTTTTCCAATGCCAGGTGGAAGCCTCTTTTGATTCCCTCAGTGACCATGTTTGAAGGAATTGAAATAGAGCAGGTACGTGTGTATAAATATGTGGGAATATTGACTGATGACTCCCTTAATTTAAGCCCCATGTGGAGAAACTGGTGAAGAGGCTCAGACTAAAACTAAGTTTTACTTTCAAAATAAGTTGTGCTTTTCTTTTAATGTGAAAAAGTGACTAGTGGCTGCTATGTTTTAGCACTGTTGGATTATGGAGATCTTTATACGAACACATCAGCTAAATGTCTTGAAATGATTGACAGTGTTTATCTCTGTTAGCATCATTACAAACGGTCAGACTCGTCACTGAGCTGTACTCGAGGGTAGAACAGCAGCTACTTTAGTTTAGTAGAGCAGAAGGCTCTGCCATTGGTGTACAATCATGTACAAGGCCTGTTACATTTGTACTTTGCAGCCTTCTCCCTGGCAGCAGGAGGCCATTTCCTCAATTTTACTGGTTGACAAAAAACAAAAACTGTCATTTTGGCCATGACTTAATGTAGACTCCACCTTAGTGACGTACAAACATGGACTTCATGCTAACATGACGTAAGCAGAATGTTTCTTCTGAACACAGGAAGGAGGATTCACTCTGTCATCATTCTCCTTATTAATCTGCACAGATGAAATAATAATCTGGAGTGTAAATATTCTGGATCCTGAGCAGTAATAAAGTCCTGAGGAGACTTCCTGCTGGATCAGAGGGTCGCAGCAATCAGAACTGGTCTCATTGATCCTTCACTGATCGTGTTGATGTGTTGCTGCTTTTTAATCAACCTGGAGCCTAAATCTGCTGCGCTCTAATCCCTGCTGACAGAACATCGATGCTGACAGCAGCTGACCTCTGAGGGGCTGAGGAGCAACACAAACACAACTTACTTACTTTGGAAACTAGCAACGGACAGATCTCCTGAAAGGCATGCAGACGAGCAGCAGACAGATGGAGCTCAGAGCAGAAAGAAACCGTTTAACAAACAAACAAACAAACAAACAAACATCAGCAAACAACAGGATGAGTGTGATGATGAGTGTGATGAAGGTAAGGTCAATTTAAGACCTTTTAAAGACCTTTTAAGACCATTAGGAATGATATTTAAGACCAAAGCGACACATTAACAGAAACATTTAAATGATCTCAGAAGTTTTAGCATAGAAATCTTTTTGTTATCATTTTATCTATTAAAGAATATTTAACTTTAATACAWGAACACTAAATTATTTTAATGAAATGTTTCTATGAGACCTTCATATACTGCTGTGAACTGTTTCCAACCAAGTGTAAAAATCACTGATATCAGCCAAGTCTCATTAAAAACACTTTCCATGTTTAAACCACAAGCAGTGCACGATTAGGGCTGCAACAACTAATCGATAAAATCCATAAAATCGATTATTAAAAGTGTTGGCAATGAATTTCATTATTGATTCGTTGTGTCACAGGATTTATGTGTCCCTCACCATGCTGCAGAGCTGATTACATCACCTGCAGAGCGTTGTCAATGCTGGCTGACCTGAATAAAGTTTAGGAAGAAAGAAAAAACTCTACCTGTAAAGCTCCGCCCTCTCTGACTCTCCAGTGAAAAGTAGAGACTGAACTTTAAACCAGTTTTTAAATCCTGTTCTTAGGCCAAGTAGATCTGAAGATATGATGAAAAATACTGTAAGTCCTACAGTTAGTAAGTCCTACAGTTAGTAAGTACTACAGTTAGTAAGTCCTACAGTTAGTAAGTCCTACAGTTAGTAAGTCCTACAGTTAGTAAGTCCTACAGTTAGTAAG